GGCCTGGCATGCTCTGGTCCATGGGGTCATGAAGAGTTGGACACAACTTAATGACTAAGCAACAACAAAGCATCTCTCTCTCTCTCTCTCTCTCTCTCTCTCTCTCTCTCTCTCTATCTCTCTATCTCTCTATCTCTCTCTCTATCTATCTATCATCTATCACTTGTTTTCAGTATGTCATCACATCAATAAAAAATCACATCGGAAGGCTTTGTGACTTAGCTTTAAATTGTTTCCACTGAATATTATAGACAGTATGAGGGCCACATCTTATTTTTTTCACATTTTTGAGGGCCAAAGACATATCACACACATCAGTTGATTCATCAAGTGCGAGAGAATAGAACTGAAAGCTTTGTCCACAATTTGATGAACTATATTGCCTCCTATCGCTTCAGTTCTTTGAGGAACACTATTTGGTGCAAGACTCAATGTTTTGAAAAGATTTGCTTTTTCTTGGCATAATTCTTGGAAGTAATATTTCAAGGCCACTCAACAAAACCAGGTTATCAAGTGTTTCAAAAAAATTATTTGACATATACAGAATGGACAGACAGATAGACAGAAATCTACCCTTTGTGATCTTTTCTATCTGTCCATATATACTGTATGTAACTTATTCATACACATATTTACACACACACACACAGAGGTACATGCACACTTGTTAAGACTGCTTCTCTGCTTACCTATCTACTGCTTATATCTCCCTATCTGCTTTGAAATACATAGGCAGAAAAGGCAGGACCCTACTCCCTTCACTAATTAGTTTTTAAAATTAAGATGGAAGGGTCTGCCGGCAGCCACATGACCGTCCTATGACTGAGCTGGAGCGTGTGCTCCCCTCCCCTTCACCCACCTGTGTTTCCCTCCCCCTTCCCCCATTTCCCCTCAACTGTGGACAAAAAGGTGGGATGTGTGAAAGGGAGGGTGGCGCAGGAGGAAGAGGAGGCAGTGTGGATGGTGGTGCTAGCCCACGCTCCTCCTTGGCAGCCTCAATAGCATCCCGGCTACCATCTTGACCACCTCCAGGGCTCGGAGGAGGTGTGGCAGGTAGTTGCCTTCATGACAGAAGATGGCTATGGGGCAGAAGGACAGGTGGTATAGGCTGGCAGATGACCTCGGCAAGGACGCACCATTGCTGGGAGGGAGCTGGTGGAGCAGCGCCCAGGTGACTACTTTGGAGGGAAACCTTGCCATTCCTCTGCTTCCTTCTCTCTCTTCCCCCCAAGCCCTCATTAATGGTGAGTTTCTCCTGTGGTATCCTTTTGCCTCCACCAAGCCATGTGGTGGTGAGACTGGCCCTTTCGTAGCCACGGACCCCCAGCATACCAGACCAGGCTGGATAAAAGGCAAGGCCAGCTGGATGTGGCCCACGGGCCATAGTTTGGAGACCCCTGGTATAGAGATTTGGGCTAACAGTGTTAAAAAGGCTTTGTTGGAACAGACCAAAAACCAGTCCAGTCCAGAATTCTGTTCCCACAGTGGCCAACCTAACACATGTGGGAGGACCACAACCAATTTGACTAAAGAATTTCCTTTTAAAGGCCATTGAAGTTGGATGCTAGCATTACACCTTGTGTCAGGAGAATTCTGCAAGTTTCACCACTCGCTGTATGAAGAAGTACTATTATTTAAATTTTTCCTGGGTTTTCCATAATTCACGTAGTTACAAATTATGATAGTGGGAAGCTTTAAATAGGCCAAGCAAGCAAAAAGAAAAGTCCTGGGGCTTCAGGCCAGATGTCAGGACCATCTAGGCATGCACCAGTGATGTATCGGAGTGTCTTGGCCCTCACTCTCATCATTTAGGCTGTAGAACAGCAAAATCTGAACAGACAATCTTCCTTTTCAAAAAGCTTGAGAAAAGTTAGTGTCTCAATCATAATTCAAAAGGAGTAAAACCTGAACTTCCTGTGCCTGACTTGGTGTTCATGAAAGCATAAAAAGAGCCGAGACTGACTATGTCTGAACAGTAGTCTAGCAAGACATGAGTGCATCTATGTAATACATTCGGGAAACCTGGGTTCAAACCCCCATTCAGTCCTGGGAATTTATTCATCATTCAGAGTTGGAAGGAAGGGTGGGAGGAAGGGCATAGTAGAGCCAATTCCCAGGGTTGAAGCCCCAAGACTTTTCTGAGTAGCAGACCCTTGGCATTATCTATTATTCCCCCTAAGGCTTCCCCCCCCCCCGAGTTTAGCTGCAATCATCACAGTAAGTGGGAGAGAAGGGACAGTATATTGTTGCAAACTATCTCTCCTATACAAGGGGGTCTTGAAAAGTACTGAGCCTTTCCCAGAAAAATATTGAGCTAGGAAGCTATAAATTGCAGGGTGTATTGGCCAATTTGTCTGTATTCAATTGTGCAAAAATCAACTACCTATGATTTTAATTTATCTTTCATGTTAAGGTCCAAAGTGAAGATGGTAACACCTCCAGAAAAGTTCAATGTGGAAGAGCATAGGACCATAATCAAGTTTTCTGTTTCTCCAAGGGAAAGGTGCAAAGCAGATCCATGATGAAATGTCACAAACTATGGGTGACAGTGGCCCTTCATATGCAACAGTTAAACATTGGGCTGTCAGTTTAACTGGCCATTCCGGTGTTGAAAGTGAGAAACCCAGTGGAAGGCCTGTTTCTTTCTCTGTGCCTGCAAATGTGAAAGCCATCCATGACATGATCATGGAGGACCGCCGAATATCAGCCAAAAGTATTGCTGTATATCTGAGAATATCACATGAGAGAGTTGGTGCCATTATCCACTACACTTGGAAATGAGAAAGCTGGCAGCAAAGTGGAACCCCAAACTTTTGACAACCGAACAAAAGAGGAAACGTGTGGCTGTTTTGGAACATTTTGCAAGAAATGAGTCAGATTTCCTGGACAAACTGATAACTGGTGATGAGACACAGATCTACAGTTATGATCCTGAGACAAATGAACAGTCTAAGGAATGCAAAGTGCAAAGGTCGGTGCAGAAGCAAATGGCAACAGTTTTTAGGGATAAGAAGGGAGTTCTGCTGGTGGACTACCTCCAACAGGGTTCAAGCATCAATGCAAAATATTACTGTGCTTTATTGACAAAGTTGAGGCAAAACATCAAGGAAAAACGTCGAGGGAAACTCTCCAAAGGTATCGTCCTGTTGCATGACAACGCCTCGTCACACACTGCAGGAGAAACAATGGCAAAACTAACCTCCTTAGGCTTTCAAGTGATGCCCCATCCACCCTATTCTCTCAACCTGGCTCCTTCTGACTATTATCTGTTCCCCAAACTCAAAAAACACTTAAATGGACAATGATTTGGGAGTGTTCTGGAGACAACTAATGAGTGGTTACACCAGCAGTTGGAAGAATTTTATTTGCAGGGACTTAAGAAGCTGCAGGACAGATGTCTCAAGTGCATTAACTTCCTGGGGGAAATATATGTAGAATAGTCTGGCAGTTACAGATTCCTAGCTCAATTTTTTTCTGGGAAGGCTTGATACTTATCAGCACCCCCTCATAATGTAGAGTATTTGGAGGTGGTATGGTCTTGAAATGGGCTGCTCAGAGCCATTAACTTTACAAGCAACTTGCCCTTCATTTATTGATATAAACTTATATAGCTTCCTGCATTTTGGGACTTTCTTTATAGTGGGGGGCTGGCTATCAGGACTGCCAAGATGAATGCTTGCAGTTTCAGATTTATTACTATACCACTTGGTGAGAGATAGAGAGAGGGAGCATCCTCTATACCTGAGGGCAACAGGCTAAGTTAATGGATGTGCCTTGAAAGCACAGCTCTGTCCATCTGTTGCTTGAGATGGCCACCTCATTCTGCCCTGCTTGTGAAAACAAAGGTGCCTCTCACCACAGAAGGTAGCTATCCTCCTCTGTGCCCCCCTTATTTTCAGCCCAAACCGAGCTTAGCACCCAAGGCTGCGGCAGAGGGCAACTAAATTGCCTCAGAAACATGACTATTTCCTCTTCCACAGGCGAATTGTCCCTGTTTTATTGTTATGCAAAACAACTGTCTGTTCTTTTTAATAAAGAAAAAACACCAACGCTTGGGGGACAACTGTTGCAGCAGATACAAAATCTGGTCACCCAGCTAGTGCCACCACTCTGAAGTGTGTGTGTGTGTGTGTGTGTGTGAATTTCTATGGGATTTTTATGGGGAAGGAGGGAATGCTTTTGGAAAAGATACTTGTGTGAACATTTCCCTTCACGCGAGGCGGGGAGGCTCACGACCTGCTCTCCTTCCCTCGACCCGCACTTCATAAAGATGGGCATTTCCCACGTTCAGAAGGACACCGCCACAGCTTCCCGCTCCCGCTCCTTTCCCACTGAAGAGCTCCGGTTCCCAAAGTGGAGGGAGGGGGAAAGGCGGGAGAAGGAAACCGTGGCTCCTGAGGGGGGCGTCTTCCCTCCCTGGGCGAGGTGCTGAAGGAGGGCAGTAGGAACGGTGGGCTCTGCAGAGCCTCTGAGGACTTTGGGAGTTCAGGAGGAGGCGGGAAGTGGGGCAGGGGGGCCCGGGCGAGGCAGGCGCGAAGAGGCCGCCGCTGTCCTTCTGCCCCCCTTTGGCGCTGGGCTCCGTCTTGGCGAACCTAGGCTAGTGTGTGCAGAGCGGGGGGGGGGGGGGGAGGAGAGGGGGAGAA